GGGGGGGGGGGGCGCATGGCCTCTATTTTTCAGGGGGGGTTCGGGTACTGGGGGCACCAGGGGAGGGGGCTATTCGATAAAGGCTGTTGACTGTGTGTGTGTTAGTGTGTGTTTTCGTCCTATTTATTGTGGCGACAGTCTCCCCATTTTTTGTGGTGAGATGTGTACTACACTTTTCAGCGTATGTAGAGTACTACACTTTTCAGTGTATTTGACTGTGCAAGTACCGAAATGGTCAGCCTTGATCGAATAGGGGCATGGGGAATTGCATGTATGGCCGCGCGGCGAGGGGATAGTGGGGACGAGATACGCCGTCTTCTGCAAGGCTGCTTCCGCCGAGGCGCCTGCTCCTTCCTACTTGGGACAGCAACGTTAAGAAAGAACTTGCTGGTTCAACTCCCAGGGCGTCAGGTTCATTGGATCTCACCCTGGGATAGGGGTGAAGGGTATCATCAGATTACCGCTTTACGAAGACGACCGCAAGACGGCCACAGGATAGGGCGGCGGGCGGTTCCTTGACCCCCACTTGATCGTGGTGAGTGCAGTGGACACCCTGCAGCAAACTCTTCGTGTGTTGGTAGTTATTCTGTGGCACCCGTCCACGGCGTTGGTAAGAGTCGAGGCCGCGCGCGAAGCAAGGAAGGGAATGCACTGCTGTTGGTCATGCCGCCGTGTATGCATAGACTACATAGAGACGAACAGCAAGGCTTGGATCAACGTCATGGGTGCTGGGGAGAGGCAGCCTCGACAGCGATGTGCACCAATTTTTCAGTTTTTCAGAGTACAGCAGTACCAGAAACCCCTGTGGGTGGGACCTTCCAAGCTCGATCCATCCCCAGTCGCACCAGAAAGTTGGTGCCAGTTCTACTTAAGTATGCGTTCAATGGCCATGTTTTTGGAAAGCTATACAGAACGTGAATCACACACATGCACCCGAGGGCGGGAAACTCGGAAAGCCGGCCTTGCGAGTTCGTCGTAAGGTGGTATTGTAATAGCAATACGCAGAACATGGATGGCGAACACCAGGAGTAACAGCAGCCCATGTGTTACACAGTCTGAAGAGCATTCCTACAAGTGGATCTTGCCACGGCGGTTACGTAGTCCCCCATGCAAATGGAGTGGTTTTGGAGCCCTGCCACACTAGGTCGCAGGGTGAAACATCTGAATCTACCATGCGAGGCCGAAGGTGGGCTGCAGCAACGGCGGCCGTGCCTTCTCGACCAGGTATCACCAGACCATCCACGTACATCTGATACAGCAGTTGAACATGTGTGGTACATGTAGACGTAGACATGTTGCACCTGACCAGCCGTGGAGGAAAATAATGTGGTGAATAGATTCACAAATGCCAAGCTGGCACTCACTTGTCGCTGCCTCAAGGGGTGGATCCCCATAGATGTCCATCCAGGAAACAACTCTGTGACCTTGAAACGCCTGGCCCATGGCCGTCCGCAGGATGGCGAAGACTCCCGTCACCTTGTTCGTTGCCCCTGCCGGCGCTCTGCAGGAGAGCCGGTGTGGCGATCTTCCCCAGTCATTCTCGCCGAACAAAAAGCATCGATTGTTCGCCTGAAGGACATGTACACCCTAGCGAAGATTGACTAGAGAGGCAGGCTGTGACTGACCACTGACTAGTCTGGACCTCTGGTCAAGGGAAGAAGCTGCAGGCAGAGAGGGGCAGGTGGGGTGGTGAGCAGTGCTGAGTGGTTCATGATATCCTGAGGGGGTACGCGAATCGTTCTCTGGGCGTGGTACGTATGCCTACGTACAATCGTCGTTGCGGAGTCCCCAGCCTCCCAAGACATGTATCCGCGGGCGCCCGAACAGCGAAACAGTCCGGGCAGCAGCCCGCTATGCAGCATAGGCGACTTCTTTTCTGTACCCTCACGTTGGCTTCTAAACACGCAGCAGGTTTTACAGCGGCCTTATTCCTCGGCCCTCCTTCCTGTCGCAGAGGGGCACACTCAATGCACCATCATGTTTTCAGGGTCGGCAGGGCCAGGCTCTTGTCCTTGACAACAAGAGCAGCGTTCGCAGCGTCTGGCACCGTTCATCTGTCACAGCAGCACCAAGCGCTAGAGCCAGGGCAGTCGAAGTGGATATCTTCTTCGTCGAGGTGGGTCTCTTCGCCGTCCAGCCGAGGCTCAGGTTTCGGATGGCGCTCGCCCGGGCAACCGGCGCTGTCCATGTCGGCAAGCAGCAGGAGGAGCAACAGCGGTGCGCCATTACGGTTCCGCGGAGGAGCGATGGCAGACGGTGAGTGAGAGCTCCAACCGGGGATAAAGTCTTATTGGAAGATGCCTAGAGAACCAGTTGGTCAATACCTCTGCAATGTAACGTGTGCTGTGGTGTTGATCTTCAACTTGGCCAAGTCAAGACATGACTTGTTTTATTGCTCCGCCAGCAAGAAGCGGGCAAGCGGGGGCTGTTTCATACGCGCTGTGGTTCACCAGCGCAGGGCGGTGTGTGGATAGTATATACATACGAAGTAGGCACGCCCCTCCTCTTTTCTACTGATCTTTTTATAAATGCCATGATACAATGGGACGGCATGGAACCAATCCGGTGGTAGTAGGGTGTTGAGATATACCGTCGTCGAACACAAAGGTTGACGTTGGTCGCCGGTGCCTGGGGTTGCAGGAACCACCTTTTCTTCGTGGGCGGATGTGGCCCAGAGGTGTCGTGACGTATATGTAGATATTCGAAGACTTACGAGGATATCGTAGGTTTCGCGGCTTGTCCTCTGCCTGTGCGTTGGCCGCACACTGGAACAGACCAAAAATAATGCCGTCATTGCGGTCATGTTTTACGAAAGTCCGCTCAGCTGTTCACATGTAGTCCTTTCGAGGAGGGTGCAAGCCGTAAAGGTGTTGGTTCTCGGGTTCATTCCTGTGCGCAGAGGTCGTGGTTTGCGTCGCAAGGGGGTCTAGAGACGGGGAGGCAAGCTGTCATTGAACCCGCGTGATGTACGCATAACACTCCTGCTAGTGCCAGCATCAGCTGTTGTTGTGGTCTACAGGCTGTATCGCTTCTACGCTGTACCAGCCGGTGGAAGGTCGTGTGTTGTGTCAATACTGCTGCACGCGTTGGCGTACATAGCACTCCACAGGGGTGCCGTTGTATTCTGACAACAGTCCATGTTTCTCTGCGGTGCTTTGTTTATCTCTTGATCACAAACCGCCGGCTGTTTTGCAACGTATCGTCATGTCTCAGAGCCTCTTGCGGCGGCGCTGGAGGCATGGCCCTGGAAGAATCCTCAAGGAATTCTCGTGTCGCCCATGGACAAGCGACATTACCGATGGCTGCTCTTGCCCAACGGTCTGCAGGTCATGGTACTTGATCTTTCTTTTCGGACCGTTTCTACTATACAGTATACCCGCGGTGTTTGTTGCTGATCGGATGTCAGCCGCTTGTATCTAGTTGTGGTTGTGATTTCATTGCACCATCAGACATGACTATTGTCAATGCCCAGACTTCGCTAAGCCCCCGCTGATGTAGATACTTTTGTGTGTGGCGGCGCAAGTGCTAAAGCCCCTGTTCCCCGAGGCCTGGGCCATCACGAACACTTAGCAGTATCCCGGCAGTCTGATGCATTAGTTTCTCGTCGACAGGAGCTCCATCAAACCACAGGGTTTGGCTACTGACGCAATTGGACCCAGCTCATAGAAGCAACCGCCTTCTGTGGGCCTGTAAACGAGCAGGTGATGGTCATCAGCGACCCGAACGCCAACAAAGCTGCAGCGGCGATGTCGGTGGACGTAGGAGCAGCATCGGACCCGGTGGGGCTTCCTGGCCTAGCGCACTTCCTCGAACACATGCTTTTTCTCGGTGAGCGAACATACAAAGAATAGTACATATGAAGGCGAGTCTGAGGCTCCGAAACTAAAGTGGAGATAGCGTTAGCTGAGCGACTGCCGCTCGAAATTCTGGCACACGCCGGTCACGGCCAGGAAGTGACGCTGGGGAGTGAGCTTGCTTGTGATGGCCGAATTCTCGTGAGAGTTTGCTACTGGCTGTGTTGGCGGCAATTGGTGAGCGTCTTCGGTTCTTCGGTAGGTGTCGTTGCATGCTGTCGGTCGGTGACTGGGTTGCTGCTGCTGCTGCTGCTGCTGCTGTTGGGCCGAGGAGCGGGGAAGTTTCCGTATGTTTGCAGCCTTTTCTCCCTTGAAATCCGAATGCGAACCGCGGGCATTGCGCCGTGTGAGCCCACGCCGCACCTCAGTGAGTGCTTTGCATTCAGTGAGCGACGAGGAGAGACAGGGGATGGACGTGTACAATGAACGCCTCCGTGGATGATGAGTTGGCATGCGTGGGATGAAGCACGACGCGCGCGAAAGAAATGCCCCGCGCGACGAGCAGTTGCAGTAGCACGGGACCAAGAGCCTCATCAAATCCAGAACGTTGTCACCCCCACTCCTGTCCTGTTGGTGTTGTCTTCAAGTTGATATTGACCGAGATTGTGTCATCGAGGGCACCCGAGATTGGGTGAGGTTTCCATTCCGTCTGTTTTGAAGTTTTCTTGTATCCGTACAGATCATATCTAAATAGGCACTGATTGGTTAGGAGAAATTTGAATGACTCCAAGGCGGCAGAGAGCGGAGGGCAGTTAGATTGATCGTCCCTTACCTTCCTTTGTGTCCACGCGTGGAACTGCAGGTACATCCAAGTACCCCGTCGAAAACGCGTACAAGTCGTACCTGGCGAAGCATGGGGGGAGGTCGAACGCGTCGACTGCCATGGACGTGACCACCTTCAAGTTCGAGGTCGGCTCGGACCACCTTAGGCAAGAGGGAGAGAAAGACGACGAGACATATAGACATTGAGAGAGGGAACAAGGGGCCAGAGAAGGAGAGAGAGAGGAGAGAGAGAGAGGGCAAGAGGCCAGAGAGGGAGAGAGAGAGAGAGAGACCACGCTGGCAGGGGTCGGTTCTCCATAAATATATCACCATGTACTAGACGCGCGACGGCATTTCGACTATATGGCGTGGCGACATCCCAGGAAACTAAGCTTGGAAGTTTCCCCCACTTTGATGTTGCGAGATTCATGTCAGACTTGCCCTACATGGCAGGCACACGTTTTCACCTGGGTCTTTGCCGTTGCATCGCCGTTTGTACGTGTTTGTCCCTTCGACATTTCTTCCATTCGGTGTGTACCGCCCGTTACAGGCCCGTTTTTCACCGTCCAAATCGAGTATACCTCCGTGTGCGTGCGCGTGTTTTCATTTGTGCATATTTTCGTTTGTTGGGCTTTGCAGAGGCGCGTTGGACATCTTCTCCCAGTTCTTTGTGTCGCCCCTTTTCACGGAGAGCAGCACCAGAAGAGAGCTGCTGGCGGTAGATAGCGAGGATAGTAAGAACAGGACCAACGACAGCCGGAGGATGCTTCAGGTGGGACATTTTTTCCGACAGATGCAAGCGCGGCTCGTGTTTCGGTCTCTTTGTCTTGGACGCCTGTGTATTTCCTTGGGTGCATCACTGCCATACGTAAGTGGCTGCGGGGGAGTTGCTTTGTCATTCATCAGACGAGAGAGCGAAGAAGAGGAGGGAAGATAATCGCTCCAATCCATACACAGCGGAGCTCAGAGAGTCACGCCGTGAAGTAGCACGTGGGCCACAGAATTACCTGGGTGCGTGGTATCTTCAGCAAGGAACGTACGGTTGGAACTCCTTGTGTCGGGGATCGAAGGTGTATACCCCCCCTCGCCCCTCTTTGTTTTGCGTGTTTTTCGCCGCTGTTCCGTGGCGAATCGGTGTTCGCCTGGTCTCCCCCGTTGGCAGGTACTGAAAGCCATCGCGGATCCGGAACACCCGTACTCGAAGTTTTCGACGGGTAATCTCAAGACGCTCAAGGAGGATGTGCCCCAGGCAAGTCGCCTTACCTTCCTTACCTTCCCTAGTGTTCTTCTTGTTTGCCTTGACGAGCGGCAGTGTGTAGTGATGTCCCAGGGGTGCACTCTATGGTAGAGCCGATGAAACGGGCGCTTTTGTCGTGATGCTGCTATTGAGGTCGATGGCCTGAGTTTTTTTTTTTGAGAGTCTCCATATGCAGTTTTCGTACATTGTGCTGGTCTTGCCATGTTGTACTGCTGCTGATGCGCTGCTGCTGCTGTAGTTCCTGAGCGGAAGGGTACCGTGTTGGAGGAGAGTTTTTGCTGAGAGTCTGCGTAGCAGGTGTGGTAAATTGTAGTGCTCTTGCTATGTTATGCTGCTACTGCTGCTGCTGTTGTTGCTGAGCGGAAGGGTACCATGTTGGAGGAGAGAAGGTTTGTCATTCCGATGCCCTGTGTTGTCAACGTGTCGATCTAGGTAATAAAACGCTCGTTTGTGACAAATCTTGAGGGAAGAAGCCCCTGGACCCTTGAATGCAAAACAAAATTAAGGCTCTCCCCCAGAAGGATTGAGAGCGACGAAAACAATCATAACATAGAAAGAATGACGGAGGTTAAGAAGAAGTAAAGCCACCCGAATCGAAGAGCGGACACCATGTCTTCATTGTCGCTCACCTGCGATATCTTGGCGGCTCTAGTGGGAACGCGCACCTGACACGAGGTATTGTCTATTTTGCTCGGCTTGGTGCAGCGCTGTGCGGTTAACGTCTTGCTCTGTTCTTGTTGTTGCCTTGGCCGTTTGGTCCCTTACCGGTATAGGGGTTGGATACGCGCGACCAGCTGCTGCAGTTCCACGAGAAGCACTACCACGCGGCCAACATGGCGCTGGTGGTTCTGGGCAAGGAGAGTCTCGATCACCTCGAGACCTTGGCGAGAGATTGCTTCAAGGAGGTGAGTCTGGGAACGCTTCGTGCTGGGAGATTGCGGTAAGGAGGTGACGCGCTTCATGCTGCTGCCGCGGTGCGTGCGTTGTCGGTGAATTGGATAGCTTCTGACACAGGTCGGCCTCGTGATACATGCATTTTTCTCTTGACTATCCACTTCCACTTAATCGTTTGTTGTACCGCTAAGCCTGAAATGCTTCCATTGGCGCCGTTACAGATCGGGCCCGCAATTATGAAACATTCTGTTAAAAACGCTCAGTAAGTACACAGATTTCCCTCGTTGTGGGGAGGCCCAGGTCGCAGAAGTCTTTCCCACTACTATTGTTGTAAGGGCTGGCAGTTTCTTCGTTGAGATTTAGAGAGGAGAGGGTCTCGGAAGAGAGAGGAAAGAGAGTGCCGCCGGAGGGGCGAGGGAAACCAAGCCCCGAGGGTCTCGGATTCCCCAGCTCCGCAGGTCGCGCCGAGAGGGACTCACCCATAGTCGGGTTTCTTGCTGATCAACCATCAGTAAGATCATCCGCTCGGACCGTATCTTGGTCTTTCTCTTGTATGTGCAACAATGGTTACAGCACTTCTACACCTGTCATCCACGTCAAATGTTTACGAAAAATAAGAAGAAAGGGCTACGAAACTCAGCTCAATCTCCGCGCCGTCGCGCCGTCGCGCCGTCGCGCCGTCGCGGGCTGCGCTACCCACTGCTGCTGTACTGCAGTACTACCGCAAGTCACGGGAGTCAGGAAGTTCAGGAGGGCGACAACCCCAATCAATGTTCGCCACTACCGAGCTTGTCGATTTAAAATGCTGCATGAAAAGGGTTGGTGTGTTGTTGGTTTCTTCGCCAGAAATAAGAAATAGGAAAATAAGACCAGCAGGATGATGCGACAGCCCAAAGGAAGTTAGAAAGCAGTTTTAAGAAATTGGCCGACTTTGGCTGGTGCTTCGGGTGAAAATAAGACTTTGGGGCTCGACCCGATTTTGACATTTCTTATCTCCGGGCCCCGGGCCCGTTCTGCATGAGAGCAGCAACAAACTCGCAAACACAACATTATTTTCCTGGCCTGGAGACTAGCCGCTGGTGCACATGGATACATGCGAGTTCTATCAATCGTCCGTAGACCTCCCCTCGCTCTATCCCTGCGGGCACTGTGTTTTCCGCGTTTGTTGGCCAAGCGAGAATATCTGCTTACTTGAGCGTTGACATCGTCTTGTTTGGATAGCTCGTAATTTGTCCGAATCGGCTGTTGCTGACTTAGGACTGCCGGCATGTTGCAATATTCATCGATGTGCAGGTGCGGGCCTCAGGGTCGACTCGACCCTCCTCCGAGTCCGACAACGCACCATCGGCCCCTACTCTAACTCCGGGCGAGGGAGAAACAGTGGCGGAGGCCCTTGCGAAGACGATGAGGTCGCCGTGGGCCACCCCCCCCGCCATGACGGTCGACCTAGAGCCGCTGCGAGGAATGCGACAGCTCATCATACAGGTACCGTTGGAAATGTGTGCGTGAAAATGGGGCCGAAAGTAAGGTGTGTCAGATACGCGGGAATGCGTGGCGGGGCAACTCGTTGCCAAGGCCGTCTGTGAGGAAGTGTTGAGCTGCGTTGGAGAGTTCCCGCCCTTCCCTGTTTTTGTTCTTGTGCAGTCGCTGCTCCCCTCCGTACCTGTGTTGCTGCCACTCCCACATCAAAGCCTTATGCACGCACCACACTCGTGTCCTATCTATCATGGTCTCGTGTGCGTGCCACACCCGCCCAGTGCCACCCTTCCCCATCCTTGTACTGTTTGTGTGGTACCAATCTCTGCAGTGGCCGATGCCGCCGGTTCGCGACCTGTGGAGGAACTCACCGACGATGGTTTTGTCGCACCTCCTCGGCCACGAGGGGCCCGGCAGCCTGTACGCGGCGCTGCAGGACCAGGGTCTGGCCAACTCGCTGTCGTCGGGAATGAGGACGGCACACGAGGACTTCAGCCTATTTCAGGTAAAAGACGTCGATTTCAGCCCCGAAGAACATTGGTAGAAGGGCGGGGGGGTGTTCTCGTGTTGTGCATGCCTCAGTGGTTAGACCACGTGTCCTCGAGACGACGGGGCATAATTCCACACACACAGGACCGATTGATCACCGATGGCCAAGAAGGCGGGGGGGGGGGGGGGGGGGGG